CTTATGTAAAAATCCTGTCCACAAAGGTCTGGTTTAAAAACTTACAAAAACCAAATAAAATCTAAAAAAACCCAACGCCAACCCAAACTAAACAAGAACCCCTCTGACCTGAAATGAATGGAGTAGTTCTAAAACCTTATTTGAAACTTTTATTCTGCCTTTCTAGGGGAGACAGACGCTTTGAAAAACCAGGGCGAAAAGATCCAGGTATGGTTTTGTTACTGTATGGGCAGAAGATGGGAGGGAAGAGCAAGAATGTGTTATGGGGAAATGGCTTATATGTACTTAAAGCTTTCTTACCTGCTTCAGATTTGTTAATAGAAGGTTTGTGGTATTGTGCTGCTTTACTCTGAATGTGTTTTCAGTGTGGTTTTTGCCCCAGGTAGATTTTATTTTATTTGACGAGGGTATGTTTGCAGTTGGAAAATAATTTCTGTGCATCTGAGAAGAGCCTTCACTGATAAGCTCTGTGGGTACTTTGTGGAATTTGCTGTATAAATGCAGCTTTTAAACATTCCTGGCATGTGTTATTTTGGTATCTAGAACTTCTTGACTATGTCAACTGTTCTGTTTTTTCTTGAATGCTCACTTGTGTGGAGTAGATCTTAATGGTAACGTGCTGATTTCCCATGGTTATGGAATAGACATCTGGCCAACTAGTCTAAGTTCTCATAGAAATCTTCTGTTCGTTGAAGTTACCTGCTTCTTTTTCTCTCCCAGTACAGCTGAAAGAGTGTACCAGTGTGTCTGCCATGTTTCCTGTTGCATTCCTGAAATGGTTCGCATTGGCCACGTTCAGGAAAAATGATTAATTTTGACCCAGTCTCTTTGATTACTCACCTGAATTTGAGTTGGTGTGTGCTGTTGTCTGGGAAGTGGAACGTTTCCATTTAGGTAGCACCTGCACTGTGTGAGTGGTGAGAAGGAAGGTTCTCCTCTGTCAGCTGGCTGTACTGTAACTGCTGTTTCATGGGATTGGGCACTGGTTGCTCCCTGATGTGACCTCGTCCTTTCTCTGTGACATGTTTCCACACGCATGTACTGCAGCTGTTTAGTGGGAGTTCTTGGCAGGACTGCCAGCAAACTGTACTACACTATTCAGTAGACTTTGAAGGAGTGTTGGCTGAATAGCCTCCATAGTGAATGTGTTGGAAAAGCATAGGTCAGAAAATATGGCTGCAGGTTGGGTTTCAGGACCAGCAAAACTCCCAGAGGAGATTCAATTGCAATTGGAAGTTGATAGGAGTGTGTTTTAATGCCTGAATGACAGTCAGCAGTTTTATTTATTTTCTTGAAAGAGTAATATGAGTTTCTGTCTCAGTAATCCAAATTTCTGGTGGCCCATGCTTTTAGGAATCTTACTACCATATTTTCTTTCAAAGCCCTCTGAATTCTCTCTCCATGTATGTATTGATTCTTTTTCATATATTTTAAAGAATGCTATTCATTTTTTTTTGTTTTAAGATGAAAAACGATTAACTGGGACAGTGCTGGTTTTCCTCTCTCTTCTCATTGGAAGAGATTACTCCTGAAAAGAGCTTGGGATTTCTGAGATTGTCCCTCTTTTTATCTCCAGTAGTGAAAGTTTGTCTGGAGTGTGTGCTTATAGTCAGAGATCTTTGGGGAATGGAAAAAGATGCTGTTGGAGTTTCAGGACTGTGGTGGTTTGTTTTTTTTTTTTCTTTTAACAAAAGACAAATGAATGTGGCAACAGCAAGAGCAGTGTCTACCATCACTGGTTATTTATTTAGCCCTTCTGTTCCTCTGAGGAAATAAAGCACTACAAGAACCAACTGAATGTTGTGCCACATTTCTTATTAAGGTTGATGAGAACATTGCCAGTCACTTTTGGATGAGATGCATAGAACTTGAGAACTTAATTTGTGCAAGATGTTCTTACAGAAGCTGGCTTGGACCTGAACAGTGTTAATGCTGCACCTACTGCAGTGTGTCTTGTTGGTGATAAGTGTCAGTCAGCAGGACTTCAGAGTGCATCTTCTGGGAATGGTTTTCTGGAAAGATGGTATCCCCTTGTGCTTTCTTAAAGTCCTGGTTCATTGTAGAGGATGAGGTGCTTTATTTGCAGTTATAAACTTCACATTATACCTGGTTGCTCCTCCTCTAAGTCTCTTACTGTATTACTTTTCTAGGTTCATCTTATTTGACCAAAACCTCCATAACACAATATAATAGAGACAAGAGATGTAGAATCTTTGTGACGTCTTCATATAAAATAATTAGCCATTTGTTTGTTATTGCTCTGTTTGAGATTAGTGGCCCTGTAAGTGGGAAGACCATTTCTTTTCTTTCCACCTTCACAGAGGTAAGATGGAATGCACAGAAGGTACTGATATGTTTTGATTCTAGCCTTGATTAATAAACAAGCAGTTAATATTATGTACGTGCTTTTAAATGATAAGATGCTTAAAGCATCAAGTAAGGATACAGATGTACCAAAAGATGTCCCTTGTTCACACCAGGCACTAGGCTATCATTCGTGTAGTAGTGAAAGCAGGAGCACGGAGTGAATTGACGTGCAGCTTGTAATGCAGGCTAATGAGCTCTAGCAGATATATCTGTTGGTTTCTGTTGTTCTGCTTAAAATTTCAAGTTTAGGATTTTATTCTTAAATTTTACAGTGCTTCAGTTTTCCATTGCTTCTGGGCAGGGCCTTAAATCAGCCTCCAGTTATGTAGTTTACTGAGTTGTCAACTTTCTTGTTTTGTTTGTTCAGGGTGATCACGTTACAAAATCGATAAAGGATGAGAGGAAGCTTTTCTGAGCATTCATCATGAGTGACAAAGCAAGAACCTTTCAATTAAAAATCATGAGATAAAAGGGGGAATTCAGGAGAGAAATGCTGCTCAAATATTGAAGAACGTACAGTTCTTCAAAGGGGTTTTGCACTCATAAGTTTGCAAGTTCTCCTTTAGCTGATGCTCAGTGTAGGCTTTTTCAGTTTGCAAATTAAGATGCACAAAGTAACTGTGAGTTTCTCTTGCAAACTGTCTAAGTTTTGGCGGACTTTATTGAGACAGCAAATTGCTTCTGGAAGGCTGAGGCCATTAGCAAAGAAAATGAGCAAGTTGTTTTCTAGATCACAGCTGTCTTGGAGTTGCATGAAAGCTGCTTAATTTTCTGTGCAGCTGCTTGACTAATGCCAGCTTAGTAGCCTCGGAGATTTGAGTAGTTACCAGCAGTTACACGTTGGTAAGAAATAATTGTAGGTTAAACAAGACATTCAGAAAGTCAGTTGTTGAACCTGATTTAGTTGCATGTTCATTGATTAAGTTAAGAAGACTTGAATGTAAAAAGGCTGCTCCTGTGAATATAACAAGGGTGCTGATTTTTTTCATTTTTTCTGGCTTGTTTTTCTTCCCTAGCCCACTACTATAGGTAGGTATATCCAAAGAAGGTTCATCACAGATTTGTTCTTGCAGCATTACTGAAAGCTTAGAATGCAGCTTTGCATCCTTGCTTATGAGCAGTTTTTTCTGGGCTTCTGATTTGCACCGTGGCCTGTTGCCAGTGCTTCCTGAGACTCCATGGTTCACCAGTTCTGCAGAGCAGTGAAAGTAATATGCATGTTCTGCCTACCTCTTGTTCTGCACTGTTCCGAGATGGATAACTACGCAGTTGTTCGTATGTCTCATTGGCTTCAGCAGTGCTCTTCAGCTGTGTGTTCAGAAATGTAGCATTTGAAGGCAGCATCTAGGGTATGCTAAAAGTATTCTTTCTTTACACTTGCTGCTCTACCACATCTGTGAATAGGAAATGATTTGAAGAAAGGGACAGCTTTCAAGTCTCAAGTCAATTTAGAAATTGGACTGAGCAACCAACACGTCGGTTAGATGTTAATTGAAAACAGAAATAGCTTTTTATAGCTTGGGCTCTAAAACGTGATTATAGTGCCACCCTGTTGAAATTATACATAGGAATCTTACAGTAATTTGTCTGAGATTGGAGTATGGAAGAGAGAGAAAACGCAGTACCTCATACAGTGCTGCTCTTGGTTGTTTCTGACTTGACGCAAATCCATTCTGTTGCTCTTGCACTGGTTCTTAGTTTGCCAGACTTTCCTCACTTTATTACATTGGGAAAGAAGGTGTCAAATAACATTGTAGAAGGACATAATAGCAAATTACTGGTACTGATAGGAAGATTAAGGAGGGGTCTCTAAACTGTGTATGGGTCAACAACTGAGAAAAACAGAGTGAAGGCCGTGTAATTTGATAGCGTGTTGCTCTGCAAGCTCCACAGTATTCATTAGTGCTTTTACATAAAGCTAAATTCCAGGAAAGATTTTGAGAAAGTCTATAGCAAAACCAAACCCAGTTAGGATCTGTAATGGAGACAGACAGTGCTTAAACAAGGTGGAAACAAGCTAAATGGCTCAGCTCTTTCTGGTTGTGAACACAGTTTGATTTTGAGGCTCAAAAAAGAGTTCTGTTAATGGCATCTCATCCCTTTATTCCTGCTGCTGACTGCTGAAGATAAAAGGAAGCATATTTTGTAGAGTATTATGCTTCTGTAAATGAAAGACCATATTTGTTTGTGGGAAAAGTCTCTTACTTTTGAGAAATTAACTCCTTCTTTTGGTACTTGACTGTTCAAGTATGAACATGTAATAGAATTGCTTTTGTTAAGAGCTTGTAAATAATTATCCATTAGTCTATTTATTCTCTAGCTTTTTAAATTATTTAGGAGCTTTAGATTTAAGTCTTAATTGCAATAGACTTATGAGGCACTGAAATACAAAGGTCCCGTGTAACTTAATGTTTTATTTTAAAATTGATTCAGGTGTCTCTGTAAATACTTTTGTGCTGTATGTAAAGGCAAATATTGATGTTAAAAAGCATAAAATACAAATGGATGCAGTTCTGCTCCTCATGTGGACGCAGTGCATCCTCCAGGGTCAGACCTATTGAGAAGCACACACAGCTGAGGCCGCATGGAACATGTTGTCCTTGTAAAAAAGCACATTCGTTCATTTAGGATGGTCTGGTTTCCACTGCTAAATAATTTATTCGGTGTTTCCAAATGTGAAAAAATTTCCAGTCAGTATTTGCCATATACATCAAGATTTCTTGATAATGTCTTCGTAGACCGATGAGGAGATGAGTTCTCCTCATATCTGATGGAACAAAAAACTACAGATAGTATTTACAGTTCTCCTTAATAAGCAAGCACAGCAGGGGTACTTCTCACTGCTGTGAGAGGTGGGCAATACTTCCTAAGAGTAAGTTCATCCCTCTGAAATCAGACATAACCAAGTATCTCGCAGAGAGTGAAAATAACTGAAAAATCAGGGTCTTGAATCAACTGAATTGCTTGTCCAAGGGTTGATGTATTGACTGAATGACTGCATATTGGTTTTGTGTGAGATTTTTCTCTTGTATTTTTGCTGTCCAGTTTTGTCACAAGCTGATTAGTTAGGATTTTGGTCAGCTTTGGAAGTCTCTCCTTTCCGAGTCACACAACTTTAATCGGTGACTTCAGCCGGTAGTTCTTCTAGTTTCCCAGAAGCAGTGCTGTGAATCTTGTACCTGCCTTTGTCCTAGGTGGTCGATCCAGCCTCTCAGCCAAGCTTACATGGGCACACCAGTTTGCTTTGCTTTGCATATTGTGTTGTAATCAGAAGGAGGAAAACAGGAGAAATTATTAGAAGATTGCAGGCAAGGAAGGAAGGTTGTCGATGTGACCTCAGAGTTTAGTGTAATAATAATTAAAAAAGGCACAAAGTCCAAAGTCTGTCCCGCCTATTCTGTGAGGCCAGTCTCAGAGAGCTGGAAGCTGTCGACATGCTGTCCGTTGATGCGGATCTCCTTGGCAGTCCTCCTTGGATTCATTGAATCAGCTGCAGCTGGGAGCTCAGGAATTGTCTTGTCAAAATTCTCCATCTTGATCTGATATTCACCTTTGGCACTGCGGGCAAGCACAGGGGCGAAACGATGGTACAGCATGATCTCTGAGGGGAGATAGGACGTCCTCCTCTGACACATCTCTCCTGTGCCTTCCTGCACCGCTGACAGAAAGACGACCAGCTCAAAGTGGCGAGCAGCCTCTCTTTGGAGGAGAGCAGCCAGTGGGCTGGATGGGGTGATGGAGTGGTAGTAGGTCAGAGGGAAGGTGAAAAAAGGGCACTCGTCCGAAGTAATGCTGTCTAGGTGGAAGTCAATACTGGTCTGGTGCAGCTGACCGTTCTCCTGCTCTTGGTAGAGAATAGCAGAAATCTGGACGCTGGTGAGTGGGCTGGAGCGTGTGTTAGCCACCTGAAACATCAGGTACGGCTTCCCCTCTGTGTGTGTCACTGTGGCGCAGCGAGTGAAGCGGATGGAGAAGGCGCGGTTCTTTGGTCGGGCGATCTTTGCCACAAAAGCACCTGTGCCATGGAAAGAAGGTGATGAAAGTGAGGATGGGGCCTGGGCTGTGTCCCTGCAGTCTCCGAGCTACGTAAAGCAGTCCAAAGCAATAGAAACTGCCTTCAGTGTACAAGGTCCTTCTGAAAACTGCAAAGCTGCCCACTTAGTGCACCCATATACTGCAGTTAGCAATAGTGTGTAATCTTGATAAGCTACTGCCTGAGACATTTATTGCATCTTATACAATAAATACAACATTTAAAGTCTGTTGACATACCTTAAACCTGAGAAACACTTTAAGAAACTTAAAATATCTGAATAGCTGCAACATCCTAGAAATTTCTATTATGTGAAGTACTGAGGAATACATAAATACTGACTTAAAGATGGAATAAAAATCTCCACCTAGACAAATGTACGACTGTTAAATTGGCTTTACATATATTAATCACACTGAAAAGATTATTTCCATTGAGAAATAGATCATGATACAATAAATAAGTGATTGGGAGTGGCAAGTGGGGTACTGCCACAAGTATCAACCAATGAATAGTGGTACTTTCTGGTACAGATTTGATACTGCCTAATATTAATTTATTATCACATAGCTGAGATCTTGTCATCCCTTTAGTAACTGAACTTATCTTTCTCTCAGATATTAGTATGGTCCGTACTTATTGCTGACTTGTTGTATCTCAAGATTTATATCATATCAGGTGTAAATGTGAGAGATTACCTGTGATGAAGGCTTCCAGCATGAGCCCTAGGACCATCTGTATGGCAAGCAGGGCGATAGCACTGGGGCAGTCCCCACTTGGGAACATAGTACCATAACCAATGGTGAGTTGTGTCTCCAGGGAGAAGGAGAATGCAGCTGTAAAACTGGTGATGTACTTGACGCAAATAGTGTGGTTGTCAGGTGGAGAATCGTGGTCCAGCTCCAGGTCCCCGTTCATCTCAGCCAGCACATACCAAAGCACTGCAAAAACTAGCCAGTGAATGACAAAAGAAGCAGAAAATACAAGCATCATCCATCTCCAGCGCATGTCCATTAGTATTCCCCACGCATCTCGGAGGTATGCCAGACCTTGTCCTTGTGCCCCATCCATCTGGAGCGTGCTGTGTCCATCCTTTGTGACCATTCTCAGGTATCTTTGGGTTAGGAGGGGAGCGCTGGATTTGGTGTTATTGCTCTCTATCGTATCTGTTCTCATGTTCTGGAAAAGACAAAAGAGGAAAATAGTCTGATGCGGTGCAGCATATTTGTATTTTGCCTAATGTTCACAGTTTTTGACACACCAGCAGGGGTTGAAATAGTGCAGCCAACAAAGGAGGGCTTATACATTGCAATCCAGAGAAGATTAAGTCAGGAGCCTGGGGTGGAATTTAGCACTATTTGTGGTAATACTTAGCTAAAATAGATTAAGTTTAAAAATGTAACTATTTCTCACATTTTCCTTGCTTAGTCATGGTATATAATTTATACTTTAGTGAATTTATATTCATCATATGCTTTAAGTATTTGGGGGGGGGGGGGGAGAACACAAAGAAGGGGAGGGAGGTTGTCACAGTGTATCTGAAAAATAATTGTCTTGTATCAGTTTAGTAACTGTTAGTCTGATTTTTGTAACTAAAGCAGAGTATAATACTTCACCTATACTATTATGAATACTGTTAACAATATTGCTCTGTGTTATTTTTGTACATGATTATGCATTTTAGGGGGGTGCTGTAGTTTACCTCATTTCTACCAAAGTAGATGTCCTTCAGGCTTTTCTTGCTCAGGAAATGACTGCTGTCTGCACCTACTCTGACTGGCTAAACAGAATTAGAGTACTCAGGGCAGAGCTGTTTCTGAATCCGAGTTCACTTATGTAAGCATGGCATAGAAGGAGGGCAGGAAAGCAGTACTTGAAATAGGCGATGATACATAACTTGTAGTTTAGCTGCCTAAGCAGTATGGTTTTATTAGGGACCAAATAAGAAAATAGGACAGCAAGCATGTGGAAATTAGGGGATGAGGGTAGAATTGGGAGTGTGGGAAGCAACATGGACATTTGTCAGACTTATAGCATTAAAAACTCAATGAACTCATGAGGATTGCTGAGTGGCTTTCAGAAGATGCTGACCACCCACATCCTAAACTTGATAAATACTGAATATTTAAAGTTTGCCTGGAACAATTAATGTAACAATTTAAAACAGTGTGTATGATCTGTTTACAAATAGCTGTGAAGGATGTATTTCTGTAGGAGGAGGATTTTCCAAATATACACAAATTCTGCAATCCATAATTATACTTGATATGTTTCATCAGTTTTGTCAGTTTCTCATCAATTTTTTCCCCTTTTTCTGAATATCTCAGCATGTAAAACAAGTGTATGTTCGAGTTAAAGGAACTGGATTACATCTGTGACAAAGAAAGTCACCTTAGTTTTATATTGAAACACACTGGATCTAATGATCATAAAATTCAGAATGAATTGATGAAATTTTAAATGAAAAGTTAAAATTTTCATGTCATGTGATTTCTGATCCTGTAAACCAGTAGTTGTCATGAGTGCACGGTTGGGTTTTGATTATCTTCAGAGAAGGAGACTTTACCACCTCACTGGGCAGCCTGTGCCAGTGCTGTTAGCCTCACGTTAGAGTAGTTCTGGCTGAGAAGAGCCTAACCTCATCCAGTTGACTCTTGCCCATTAGATACCTATAAGCCTTGATAAGATACCCTCTCAGTTTTCTGTTCTTCAGACTGGACAGCCCCAGGACTCTCAGCCTTTCCTCACAAGAGAGGTGCTCCAGACTGCTGATCACTGTTGTGGGGATCTGCTGGACTCTGTAGGAATTCCTGTCTGTCTTGAACTGGGGAGCCCAGAATTGGATGCAGTGCTCCAGATGTGGCTGAAGTTCCTCCTGACCTCTGCAGTTCTGTGATTCTGTTTGAACAGAGAACACCTACAGCACAACATGTCTCTAGGTGTAACCTCATGCGTTCTTGAAGGAAAAAAATGTGCTTGTAAATTCTTATGGTTTATTGGAGGGCAGCATCTGCTTTACAGTCTCAAAGTTATTTGAGCCTGAAAAACTTGCTGAGAAAATGTGAATCCTCTACTGAGTGGTTGGTGATGATCTTCATTAGTGTTAATAAGTACAATAAGGAAAAGAAAAAATAGTTTGTATGTTTTTTGTCTCTGTTTCAGACTTTGTTTGCATCTGTATTAAGCAGCCGATCACCCAGAGCAGAATGCTGTCAGTGTAGAAGGGTCTCAGTTTCCTTGACAAGGAGCTGTCTGGGGTGATGGTTAATCACTTAATATTCAGGCAAAGCTCTTCAGTCTGTCTTCATCATCAGGTTGTTTAGAATGTATTCTGTGGAAGAAGAATTGCAGACATCTCAAGGGTAGCTGGCAAAGAGAACCTCCGTTAACCTCCAGCAGTGCATTTCATAATGGTCCTTTCTTGGTGTTCCTTGAGACTCGCAGCAGGGAAATACCTGTGTGGTTCATCTCATTTGATAGAGGCTTCTGATCTTTCTTGTCCAGCACTGTTTTAAAACATTCCCTACCTGAGTAGGTGGCAGCAGCAGCATTGGAGCTTTGGCCAAGCCTAAACTTCCTGGGCAGGAAACAATGGCAAAGAAACTGCAAATAAGCTTTAAGAGCAGTGCAGTTGCTTTAGTATAGAAGGTGAAAAAGTGAACTGTCTAGAGGGAAATAATCTGCTCAGGCTAGAGGATCAGGCTACTGAATTTGTCAAAAGCAGAGTCAACTTGAGTAAGTGTGACTTCAAATTTGAAGATAATTGTCTTCTATATACTTCTTTCCTTGCTCAGTGTAGTAAAAAAATTAAATTTCATCTCCCTCTTAGTAATAAATTAATAAAATGGTAAAGTACATTTTAGACCACCTAGTCTGGTGCTGTGCAGTGTGGTCCTTGAGATCCCCACATCAATCCTAGTTTCAGAGTAAGTTTTAGAGAAGATGTGCAACTTTGACTTTTGTTTTGTTGGATAACAGGTCTCCAGTGCTGAATGGATATGGTTCCTAGACCACAGTTCTCCAATGTCATCTTGTAACCTTTATGATATGCTTCTTGTTTGGTTTTGTTTTTCCTGGTTGTTGGCGTGTGAAAATGTAGCTTTGGGGTGTTTCTTCTGCCAGCTGATAACCCCTGACTAGAAAGACAGGCGCTGTCAGCTAAGATTTTCTTAAGCCTCTCTTTGCTTGCTGGCCAATCTGTAATTTCCATTTGCTGGTTCTAATCCTTCCTGTTTCCAGTCTATTGAAAATTCAGTGGTTATCACCAACTCTCTTTGATTCTTTTGGTTTTTTTAAACCTCTTAACTGTCTTTGCCCCTCATTCTGAGTTTCTTACAGTTGTGTAAGACAAGCCAAGGTAGGGTGAGCACCGCAGTTTAACTTTTATTAGTGGTTGGGCAGGTTCTAAACTGACCCAACTTGCTAATAAAAACTTGAGCTTACAGTTCTAGAATAGTGATTGCGTTTCTGAAATTCACGATCCAACACAGCTGCCCTCCCACACCTTGCTTGGTTACTGAGATGTTTGCTTTGTTGTGTTGTGACAGCTCTTTCAAGCAGCATTGTGCTCTGCACCCCCGTGGTGCTTTCCTCCATCTTTAAGGCATCCTTTAATCTGTGGGGACTTATTTGCAGTCTTCATGGTTTTGTTTGTCTTCCCAGTCGAAGGCACTGAAAATGACACTCAAGCTTTCGACTTGGTAAGTTAATGCAACTGCAGCCCCTCTAGAAGCCTGAATACTGTTTTGTGGAGCTTTGTCCCAGAGAGATGTTACAGTGCTGCCATACCTGCCCAATTTCCACTCTTAGAATCTGTTCCAGTTGGTCTCAGAAGGGATTTGAGGTGGTTTATAGTGTGCCACTTCATTGCAACAGTGAGGCAGTCAAAGAGGACTTGCTATTTCCTGAGAGTACTGCAAACTCTGCTTACAGCTGTAGCAGAACATGAGGATTAATTAGAACCCAAGTGATGGGTTGTGCCCCCTTTTTTACTGAAGCTGACTTCAGGGAACTTTACGCTTCAGAATTAAATATATTGGTGCTGTAAGCTGCAATCATTCAGATTACCTTTTTTCCTGATTTATCTTTTTCTGTTCTAAAGTTGCTTTGATGCTATTAAAATCTCAATATTGCTGTTTTTGCATGGGGTGATAATTCCTTGATGCTTTGATATTAATCGTAGGAAGCAAACTTTTTTCCAGAGTTGATGACTTCTCTGGATCATATAATCTGCACCAGGGCTGGTCTTAAATGTGGGTAATTCAGTCAGTACTGTAACTGCTTTAGTTGAAAGCTTATGCTACAGCTGTGAGTAGAATAGTTAGAATTTTGAGCATGTTTGTCCTTTAGATTTTGTAGGTAATTACTCATTTAGATGAATAGAATAGAACTTTTTCTCCAAGCAGCCTGCAGAATTAAGGTAACAGTTTTCAAGACTTGATACAAATATAAAGAAATACTGTGAAGATGAAAACTTCTTCTGAAGCCAAGTCGTAATTTTCACAGCAAATAGCACGAAACATAGGATACCAAAGCTTTACTTTTGATCTTCAGTGACTGTTTATTACAGAGTGGACTTCAGAGAAGGGAAGAAAAAAAAAGAGGTGAAATGGAATAGAGTATTACAGCACAGAAGAATAACTTTTTAGAGACTTGATTCTTGAAGACTTTGGTGTTTTTGAAGAGCAGTCCTGCTCTATGTGATACAAACTTCCCAAAAGCTTGTCTGGAATGACTGATAGCTTTCCAGCATGTGGCAGTTGACACTTGATGTTCATTAATGGATTGCTAAGTCAGTGGCACTAGCTCACAAGCAGCATGTCCGTAAGCAATAGATCAGAATGCATTGATGAGAAGTGATTGAAGACATGACAATAAGTTACCACTGTTAAAAGCAGGTCTGAACAGATAGAGCTAGTTGCTGGCATTTTTGGTGGAACTGAAGTGAAATGCTGAGTTGGTTGGTGACACAAGAGGTGAGGAAGGCTTTCTGCTAGTATTGTGCATGTAACACCTGGCTAGACTGGTAGAATTGTGATGGTCCCTTGTTTGCAGAGCATTGCAGAGACTTTCCCAAAGTACTGATCTTGAAAGCTTTCTACAAGAACACTGCACGATGGCTTTGGTTTTGCTGTGTGCTGTTGTGATTGAGGTCATTTGAGAGCTTTTTCTTCTTCGGCAGAGAGAATCAGAAGCTTTTGTTTAAGGTGATACTGAATTTGGCGAGCTTCAGAAATTCTGTGCCCCGAGAAACGACTTCATTTTCTTTCATTACAGAATGCAGAATAATTGCTAAACATACAATAAGAGAAATTGCGTAGGGTACTTACCAGTCTTTGAAGGATTTGCTTGTATGCAGGAGAATGAGTGTGCCTGGGCTCTAGAGAAGGGACCACTTGTGTATTGGTCCCAGCACTGGCAGGGAACTTCCCACAAGTGATTGGTAGAGATCTCCTTTCCAAAAAAAATAAGAATTGGAAAAAAAAAAAATGGGTTTGTATGTCTGGTTGCTGTATTTATAGTGCAGGGGGGCTGGTTTTCATGTGAAGCTGATTCGATTGGTCACTTTGCCTGCAGGGGGGCTGGTTAGCTCTGATCAAGTGGAAAAGAATGCTGGTTTGTTAGGAGCATTTTCCTTTACCCAACACAAACCCTTAGCAGGCAAGGAGAAATCCTCAAATGCCTACTTGTGGAAGGGGTGCGTTTTCCCCTCCCCTCCGTCATCAAGGTTCTTATTTAGATTCGTTTAATCTTACTTAAAGTTTTACTTGCAAGTTCAAAAGGCCAAAATTCCTCTGGAAAAACTGAATGTAAAAAGGTATGAAATTGCTGTTGAGAAAAAAATGGTTCTCTGATACTATCTTCCTATCAAGTGTAACTCTGTTTGTTGAGGTAGAAAGGGGAATCTTGTCTTCTTGCAGCTTCTCCAGTGCTGCTGCTTCTCCTCATTAGGTCCCGGCCTCCTGATGGCTCTGCTAAGAAGTGTGGGCTGCAGCTGGTAGTGTAGCCTGTGATCCCTGCTCAGCTGTAGCTTAATTCTAATCAGAAGATGTAAATCTGCTGGCTGTTTCTCCACATTGCTCCTTTGTGAAAACATGAAATTAGTAACAGGATTTTGCCAAAGCCAGGGAGTGAAACAGTGCAGACTAGGTAGGTTGCTGCCTTTAGAGATACAGTGAAACTGGTTCCATGCTGTAAGTGAGAACATTTTCACTTAAGCATGTTCTCCCTCTCTTGTTTAACAAATTAGAGCACATTGGGAGAGTTCTTGTAAGGAAAGTCTTCAGTCTGAAAGAATGTGCAGAGCAGCCGTTGTGCTGCACTACTGAGCTGAACTCTGTACTCTGAACTGAACTTTGTAATGCAGTTGTATTTCTCACTTTTTTCCCCCCTTCATGAGCTGCTGATCTGAGGGCTTTCATTGAACGTCATATGTAAGAGGATCTGCAAAACAAAGGCTGTGGTTGTTTGCACTATAACTACTGAGGGCCTGCTGGGAAAATTATTAATGTAGACTTTCATGCTTAGGGAACAAAATCCTCCCTCATTTTTTTTCTTTAACATTCCCCCAATGCTAAATTGCAAAACGTTAATTCTTTGCTTCATTAGTATGGAACGATTTTAATACATGTTCAGGCACAACACTTAAAATGGTGGTAGGCATGGTGACCTTCAGAGCCAGTGCAAGTCATGCAGTGCTGCCATTTTGGTAAGCCTGTGGGGTTGGTGATGTGACTTGCTCTCGGCTCTTCCCTATCTACTCCAGTGAAGCCAGGTCTCCTCTGAAGAAGGCCTTTTTTTCATCAGTGGTGTGGCAGAAGTGTTTTTTTCCTAAAGCAGGCTTTCTTACAGAATGTATTTTACACTGTGGAAAGCTTATAGTGTCCTGTCACATGTTTTTTAGTCTGATTTGGATGAACAACTTGTACAGCAGGTGAAGTGGCTACACTGTGATTTCCAGGTGTGTCTTATGGAATTAAACTCTTCTGTGTATCTGCACTTTGTGACTCTCTTATGCTGGGGGTAGCTGTAGGTTTAATGAAGAACATAGTGATGTTTAATAGCACGTTTAAGACCGGCAATTGGGATTGAGAATTTAGGAAAGGGGAGAAAATGTAGAGATAGCAAATATCACCAGAACTTTGGGTTTCCATCACTGACTCTGGCTGTGTGTGCATTCTGTAGATAAATGCTGTCCCAATGAGAAGGTTGCATGTATTTGGAAAAGTTACCTTGGGGCCACTTGATCCATTCTTCTGTAAAATGAGCTGCAGGATTACTTGTGTAGGCAAAGTTATTTGAATGCCATTAAAAACATGTGCTGCAAAGGATTTTTGTCCTTTTTGTGTGGAAATGTATAGATTGCAGGAGAAAGAATAGAACAAATGAAGGCACTTGGACCCCTGTAGGTTTTTCCTCTGTTCAGAGCAGGCGTGTTGCTGTCAGTCTTGCTATTTGTGCTCATTTTCTGCAGGTGCTGAGCATGTCATAGGAAACGTGGACGGGCAGTGTGGAGAGCAGCACTGTTTGCTGTGGCAGTGGTTAAGTTTTCTACGTGAACAGGTTGCCATGGAGCCATGTCCCAGAATCCCAGTCTTGCCCTTTGCAGTTAAGTCTCCCTTCAGCTCCATGTTGCACAGCTGTAGGCTTTTTTGGCTGAATACCGCTGGGCTCTATCTGAAGTTTTCTGTAAACACCGTTGCTGGCTTTGTGACAGACTTGAACAGAGGTGCCCTTTTTTCCTGCTCCTTCTCTTCAGGAAGTCCAGTCAATTAGTCCAAGGCAAAACCATAGACTGCATTTTCATTTTTTCCTTCTTAAAGCATTGCCAAGCACTGGCTGTGAACTGGTCGTGACAGCTGAAAGGAGCTGATTGCAGCGTTGATGTACTGGGACGTCGTTAAAAGTCGGTGTCTTGATTGATCTGCCTAATGTTCAGCATCATGTCATGCCTGATCTGTTTTGAAACACGCCTTACTGTCCTTGGATATTACTTGCTATGGTGCTTCAGTACCAGGAAAAGGATACACTGCCTTTTCTTTGCTCCCACAGAAGTGTGTTATCGGGTCAGGCGCCTGCTGTGACATGCTGAAGTACTGGTTTGTTTGGAAGTTTTTCTCAGTCATGCGTGATACCATCCTCAGATGCAGTAAAACTTCACTGCCTCTTATTGTTTCTTACTTTTTTTTTATAATATTGTGGAACTTTAAATTATAGAGAGATGGGATCTCCCTTCTTTTTGGTGGTGGCAAACCCTGGTGAGTTGTCACCTCGTTGGAGCTGTGTGTTACTAATTCCACAGTGGGCCATGGGGATGCAGTTTCCTGCACACATAGAATACACAACCTGACTTCAGTAGTTCCATTCTTGGGACCAAAACCAACAGTGGTAAGCATTGTGAATGCCACAGCCTGAATTGCCTCGGATGTGCCTGTAGGGTACTGAGCTGAAACAGTGATACAGGCATTCCTTGCCACAGGAGGCTTCACAATATTATTTATGAAGCTTTCTTTTCTTTTTAAACCCCGTATGTTCTAGAAGCAGCAGCAAGCGCTTGCTAGTGTTAGAGCTGTCTTGAGTCTTAGTAACAATGGAAGGAAATGACATCTCTGTTCTTAACTGATGGGACCTTTGTAACTTCTCCAATGAGCGGTGTTGTTCAGTGAGTGTCAAATAATAGCTGTGAATTCTTCTGAGAAGAACAGATGTATTTTTTCAAGAAGACTTTTTAAGCTGAAAATAGCTGAGTAACACTTGCTGGTAACTTTCAGTGAGGGGAAAAAAACAAGCTTGTGTTGTGTGCTGCAGAATTAAAGGCAAAAAAAGTGAATTTTGCTTGTTTTGGACAAGTTCAGAGAAGGACCATATTCTTTATCCTCTGGTCTGAGACTCATTTGGCCTGTTGAATTGCACTTCTTCTCTCCTGGGTTAGACTATCAGTGGTCTTAGTGTGTTGTATTTGGCTCTGTTGTTGTATTTACTAGCTTTCTACTGGATGATTATTTTCCAAAATATACTGTTTTAGAAACTTTGTTCTCAAAGTACAGCAAACACATAGGAGTTTTCTTTAGTCAGGTGCTTGTCTTAATGAAGTAAATGTGTGTCTGGGTCGTATTAGGCTTCCTATGGCTTAGGCTGCCTGTCAGTGCTGATAGTGTGCTTTGGCCTTTTTGTAAATATGGAAACGAGAAGTGTTTGAGTTGCCTTTCTGAGGTCGCTGTGTGGCTGTCAGGGTGGAAGAACTCCTGAGTCTTAAGCATGAAGGTGTGTTCTGATCCTCCTATATACTTGCTAGGTCAAGGCTGTGTGGTCTTGAAAATGACTTCAGAAACTCGTTTTACTGACAGCTGGGAAAGTGTTTCATGTGAACTTGGAGCACAGGAACCTGCAAACATCTTGCTTGTATGTTGTTCTCTGGTTGTAGTTCATATACTGGTTTTAGTAGCATATACCCTTCCAGTATGGTCCTTCCCTAACACAACTTACTGTGGAAGATTTTGATCTGGAGGAAGAAAAACGCAGTCTGTGTTACGAGGTGGAAGAGAAGTGGCACGGGTTATTTTCAAGCAATATACAAGCTCCAAAGGCAGTGCTTTGGTTTCGGCTTTTAAAGTTCAGTGTCCCCAAGTAGGAAGCATTTCCTAGCTGTTCTAAATGGAGCTGTAGTATTTTGGGTGCTCTGCACTCCCCATTGCACATATAATGCAGTGAATGGGAAAAAGTGGGAAAACAACTTGCAAATCCTTCCTAAACAAAGTCCTTAAAATTGTCATCAGAATGACCTGAGGAGTCTCACTGCAGTCATGTGCAGGTGTGTTAGACAATCTTTACTGCACTATCAATTACATTTCTGGATTTTGGAATACAACCCAGAAGTCCTGAAGGTAGTGCTGCCATTTATTTCAGCGGTGGTGGATCCTTGGTGGAATGAGTCAGCAGTTACAGCAGCATGTCTGGCCTGAGTTACTGCACACAGTGCACATGCTTTTTGTGAAAACATTCGTGTAATCCTTTTGTGACAGCATTGTTCTTCGTTGAGTACCCGGGAACTTTGTTTTATTTCAAATATAACGTGGTATAAGTTAAGAAATAAGGCCACCCCAAATTTCTGATAGATTGTTCCTTATTCTTGAGCATAGTTGCTTCTAACTCACCTCAACACTCCAGAAGATGGCTTCAAAGGGTAATACTAACACTCTGTTTTTCTTATTTGGTCTTTAACCCTTAGTCCTTCCTAGTATTTTTGCAAGGATTTGCTGTACATCTTGTAGGATTAAATGCAGCTCGTCTTTTTAATATGGAAGTAGCAAATATCTGATTTAAATCAAATGTGTATCAGATTTACGTTTTTGTCTCCATTTTAAAATGAGGCTTTTTGTGATATAGTGGTTTATTTTTTCTCTCTGCACACTCTGGCTTCTTAACTTACAGGTTACTTTATGTCCCATAA